ATGTGAAAAAGACGTAAATACCCTTCTTACAGGTGATGTATGAGAATAAGGCGAGGCTGATGTGTACAGCTGAGGGGACTCCTTTTGATCTTTTTGAAAGGATTGTGACTATTTCAGATGCCCAAAGTAGGGCACCTAGAACCTCATCAAGGTCAAGGAAAAATGACGATTCTGACCTTTGTGTTGATAATGAACTCGGGTTTGTAAAAGATCGCACTATTAGTAGGTATGTAGATTTTTTTAAAAGAGGGATGATTTTTATAATAAATAAAGAAATATTACAATAGAGTGTGTAATGAAAACAGGTTGACAGAAATGAACAGCAGTGAGTATCTGGAGCAACATGCAGAAATGATAGCAGAAAAACAAAAGGATGAAGACAACATTAATAATAATAATAATAATAATAATGTTGTTCATGCTCATGCTCATGTAGTACAAAGTCGATAGCAGCAGAATCATTCATTTTCATCAACAATTCTTTTTTCTTTTTTTTCATAATTTATGGGGGAATAAAATTGATGGATGGGAGCAACACTGAAAAGGTGAAATTGCGATGCTTTTGGTGTAATAATTAATATAGTTGGAATTTGTAAGATATGACATTTCTTTTTGTTGTACTTTTGAACTTAACTGTATTTTTCGTAAAATGTAGCTTAATTTAAACCATCTGACATTGAGGGCAATGTGGCATCTCCTTTAATGAGTTGCCTCAATCCATATATTTTCATCTATTTTTTTCTATGGTTTTTCTAGCAAATACCATACAAAAAGCTCAATAATCTTCACCAAAACGAGAAATTAAATACCATCCTACATTTTGTTCCTACTAATCCTCCTACCCATATAAATGATAACATGTGTCATATTAGCATCCTAAAATATCATTAAATAAACATTAAATGTTATACATATCATCATTTAATTGGGTAAGAAGATTTGTAGGAACACAAAATAAGAGGATATTTAATTTTTCTTGTGGTAATCATCAAATCAATTAACAGCTAATCGAGTAATCAAAGTAACTCAATTGGAACAAAATTAGAAAGTTTGGTAGACCAAGAACAAGTGAATCATTAAAATAATAGATGAAGTAGTTTTTAATTTTTAATATGAAAAACATAAAATAAAATAGATAACGAATTGAATCAATCATACAAAATAATGTTCATACCAAACACATGTCCGAAATTGATAAGAACCAAATGAAAATTAAAAAATATATGACCATTGTTTATTATATCATACGCTTCCATCTTAATACCAAAAAAGATAGTGTATAGGGAGTAGGGGTATGTATCCACATGCACAACTATTATGTTTATGTTCCTTCAAATGACACATCTATCTGTCTGTGTCTCTGTCAGTCAGTCTGTCTTCAACGCTGAAATGAGATGGAATAAGAGCCGGTATTTGGATCTTTTACCGCTTTAAAATTATCCACACTCATCCCAAATTTCCCTAAAATTGTGTTCCCCATATCTTTCAACTTCCCTACAATATACATTTTCAAACACATATTTCAATATTTTTTTAATTAAACTTAATTATTATTATAATAATAATATTAATACCAAGCATCTCTTCCTTCATCTTTTCACGTTTTTCTACAGCCAATGGTTCTAAACGGATAATTGTCCTCTTAGCTTGCTTATTTGAAGGATCTAATTCCAAGATTTTCTTCATCCCTAAACAATATATTAATAAAACAATTTTCAAAAAAAGAAAAGAAATGATTAATCAAAGTATTAATTATTTAACATAATTACCAGCAATAGCATCTTCATAATTTTCAAGCTTCTCATGGGCTTCTGCTTTTCTAAGAAGAGCTTTCATGTAATTAGGGTTTAGTTCCAATGCTTTTGTGCACTCTTTTATGGACTCCTCATACTTCCCCTGTCATACATAGCATGAAGATTAAGACTTTAAATCTAATTACAAAATTTAATTGATAATGTAAGATTAGAACTCACAAGTTTAAAGAAACATGTTGCACGATTGTTGTGACAAATTGACCTAATTTCTGAAAGTGAGGAGATTTCAGGTGCAAGTTGTATGGCATAATCATACTTCAATAAAGCCTCTTCATACAAACCATCTCCAAATAACTTGTTGCCTTCAACTTTTGCCTCATTCATTTCTGCTAAAAGTTTCTGCATCTCCAAGATAATAAGTGAGCAACATTGAATTCAACTTTTTTTTCAAACCTTCCATCAAGACAATAGGGAAAGGGGAAATCAATTCATACTTTTATGTAACCAAAATGAATATCATATATATATACTTCTGTACTAGGACTAGAAAAGAATGAATACTTTTAGCTTAAAAGTCACAAAATGATGATCCTAAATGGAGATTTTTTAGAATTCAAATTCAATCCCAAGCCCAAAGATTAGACTAGTTACTGCAAGAATATCCTTGTAAAGCCTTCATACATTTCACATTGTTCATATGGAGACTGGAAGAAGAAAGTAGAATCCACCTATATCAAGAACTCAAGAAGCATATTACCAGTACCAAGAGTATCATGCATTAGACGTTTTGAACACCATGAGTGATGCGAATCATGTGTTAAAAACCATCTAAAAGCAAAATCAACATAGAGCTAGCAAGCAAAATCAATCTGAAGACTCCAATCAGCAGCTAATTGGCAAGATGATATTGTAAAATGCTTCCAAACACAAATTCTAGGGATTACACCATTGGATAAAATCAAAAACTCAACGCAGATGCCAGACGCTTCAACTAAATGACAAAACCTAAACACCGCAGGGTATATGAATTATAACCTCGAAAGCGAGAAAGAGTGAACCTGCTTGAGTTCGTCTTCGTCGAGCGTATCTTCAAAGCACTGATCCTTTGACGCCACAGACAGCTCTTCCGGATGGTGTTGTTGATGTTCAATGGAGTCATTTGAATTGTTATTATCATCAGATACAGTCTCATCATCGCCAACTTCGGTCTCGCTTGCGGTTTCGAAACCATCGGATGCGTATCCGTCGCCGGTTACTCTGTCGTCACTTTTCATATCTACTCCGGCGGCGTTTGCTTGATCGCCACTGCTTGAATCTACGCTGCCGGCGGCAACGGTGGTTGATTTTGACCTTTTTGGTTCGTCATCAGTCGAAGGAATCGGCTCAAGCACCACCATTCTCAGCGTCTCTCACAGAAACACACACAGAAATCTTAAAAATCGCAATCGGCAAGAGGTGTCTTTTCGTTGCAGAATTTGACGACGATTCTAGAAACAAATTGGGTTTTACGTTTTCCACGACTTCCGTAAATTTCATTTCAACCACATGTAGATTAGAAAACGTACTTTTAGTCCCTTTTTAACTTCAACAAATAACCTCATTAGACAAAATTGCAAGAATGGTCCCTGTGGTATGTCCAAAATTGCTACATTGGGCCAAACAGGTTTGGACTAGCACCAATAGTCAAAAAGTTTTCATTTTGTTGTGGTTTTGGTCCAAAACAGTTTAAAAAATCTAAAAATGACGGATTTGCCATTTTCCATTTGTTTTTTGCTTTTCTTTTTGTTATTTAATTATTTTCTAAATTAAAAAATAAAATAAAGTAAAACCTCTCTCTCTCTCTCTCTCTCTCTCTCTCTCTCTCTCTCTCTCTCTCTCTCTCTCTCTCTCTCTC